AAACACAACTACGTGCACTGAGTATTTATTTTTCGTTTTTAAAAGGAACTGCATCATTGGAGAACGTTTTTAATGACTATAAGGAACTGCATCATTGGAGAACGTTTTTAATGACTATAAGGACCTGCATCGTTTGAGAACGTTTTTAATGACTATCAGGAACTGCATCATTTGAGAACAGGTTTTCTTCTGGTGAACCTGAAATGCCCAGGTCCACATCAGCTCCCTGGAAACCCACTGCGAGGAGAGCACAGCGGCCGCGGGCAGCGGAGCCTTTGACGCTGTTCCCATTCGTTTTGCCACATTTCCTTTGAGGAGGAACATTAAGTAGGAGAAGAGGCGTTTCTGGAACTTCAGCAGCTTTACAGAAAAAGTTGCTGTAGATCCTCACCAGGTGCTCTATGAGGGGAAAGGAAAGCAGCCGCAGTGTTCTCGGCTCCTTTATGACATATAACGACGTTTGCCCATCTAACAGCAACAGAGCACGCACCCTTGGAAGCTTCCCTTGTCACTCATGTCTAATTTTGCCAAACTTCAGCTGCAGAGTTTTATCTCGGTTTTCATGCTGAGCTTTCCAGGAAGTTTAATTGTAAACAAAGTAAAAAACCTGGAAATTGCTCCTTTTTATTTATTTCCCAGGACAAAAAGGGTTGTATTTTTCTTCTTAACTGATGATAACAATCACGTCTTTCCTGCTACAGTCTGTTAGCGTACTACAGACTATTAGTGAGACCAACATCACAAGGTGATATATATCACATGGGGAAGGAGACGTGTGCTAGACTTTCATGCCTACTTCATTCAAGCCTTTTGGAAAGTTTTATTGTGCCACCACAAAAAAATGGAGTTATTTTATTACAGCTGAGTTCAGATTCTTGAAAACAATTAGCTTCCCCTGCCTTCCGCAGGGCACCAAAGTTAAACACACACCATTTTGTATCTAAAAGGTATATAAATGATATTTTTCAAGTTCACTGAGAGTTGCATTAGTTTACCAGAAACGCTACCAGTTAAATCTCAGCACTGTCAGTAACTGGCTTGACAGACAGTTTCAAGCATCTATAAATATCTTGAAGGAGTTCGGTCATCGGAACAGAAGTTAAAGAAATAAAACTCCTAAATATAAAAAAACCCTCTGATACTCACGGAAACTGCACAGCTGCTTAGACTTGCGTGTTAAATCAAGCTTCAGTACGTCGACAGCAGCCTCCAAGCACTGCTACCGTAAATCACTGCTCCGCACAGAGCCTCGCACCAAGCTCACCAGGCCTGGCACGGCGTTTCCTTGGGACACGGGCGACGTTTCCCCGCGTTGCTGCACCCACCACGGCCCTGCCACCAGCCAACTTTCCATTTCCTTGCTCTACCCAACAGCACGGCCTTATAAAACTAAATTTCCCCATCAGCAACGCTGGCAGCACTTTGCACTGCTACAGATTTAGCAGGGTTAGGAAATCAAGAGGGGGGGAAAAGTTTTTATAGAGATAATCCATGCGATCAATGAGCAAACGCTCTTTCCTGGACCACATCTGCACTTCGCATCGCTCACTTCCAGAAATCAGAGCAGCATTCTCTGCACCGGAGCAGGACAGACATGCAGAGCAAATACTTTACTCAGATTAATGGTGTAAGCCAGTAAAGAACTTTCCAAGGCAACCCACATATAAACTTACCCCTTGGCTTCCTTGAAACTGGATTACTGGTTTTGATGTCACAGCATCCTACAAAAACAAGTGGGGAAAAAGAAAAAAGAGATTACCTTAGAGAAATTTAAAGCTCCAACATTCACTGCCAAAAAATACTCAGCTTGATCTTTCACCCTTTTTTTTTTTTCTTTAAAGGAAAAAGGTTCAGGGAAACGCAGAAATTCCAAGGGAGAAAATACAAAACCTCCCGAAACAGAGATTTCTACCTAGAAAAGGGATAAAACTGTAACATCACCAGCAGTTAAACAACTTCTCTCTCGAGAGTCATTAACCCTTACTTCAGAAAATCTCTGAGATGATACCCAGACGGGCTACGCTTGGTTCCTTCCTGCCCCTAAACCACATTTCGGGCACAGCAGAGCCGAGCTCTGCATCTTCGGTGCTTATGTAAGTTTTGAGTTAAAACGGTGGATATTTGAGGGGAAAATTTATTACAGTTCTAGGTCTGAGAACGCGCTACGCAAATTTTTTCCAGCAGAAAGCTGGCAATTCAGTGGAAAAGCAAACTGCAATTTCATTGCAAAATACTGTTGTTACGTTGCCCATTTCAACAATCGGCCTCTTCCTCCGCGCCGCTTCGCTTACGCTTCGAGCAGTCCGGCTGCCGCTAGCTCTCAAGGCCCTTAGACCTGCCCAGGACAGAAACACCGCTGAACCTCAGCCTTTTTGCACCGCGGCGGCACTTTTTGCCTTGCTGTGATTTTACAAAAATCACACAGGGTTTGGAATTCAAACTCTTACCAGAGGTTTCAGCTACAGGGAAAGAAAGAGAAGGGGACCTAATAAATGTTTATAAATATCTCAAGGGTGGGTGTCAGGAGGATGGGGCCAGACTCTGTTCAGTGGTGCCCAGCGACAGGACAAGGGGCACCGGGCACAAACTGGAGCAGAGGAAGCTCCAGCTGAACCCGAGGAAGAACTTCTTCCCTCTGAGGGTGACGGAGCCCTGGCCCAGGCTGCCCAGGGAG